GATGTAGCGGGGCAAATTGTGGAAGAGTGATCTCGTAGGCGCGCTCCGTCACTAGTTTCTTCCCCTTTTGCTTCTCGAACCGAGTACTCGCGCCTTCGACACAAAAAGCGTCATCGTCGGGTGTCGGAATTTGGTCGGTTTTCTTGCCTTTCCCTTTGCCTTTTGAGGTGCTTTCGCCATGCGAAGGGCCCTCTCCGTCACGTCCTCGTTTCCCCATGACTTGAGAATGTGTGTAGAAGGGATTAGGAGTGGATTGATGCGCAAAAATTCCCCCAAACTTGACTCGGGCAATTCGTCGAACACCTTGTGGGCGTTCTTGGTGGAATAGGTTTTTGGAGACAATTGCTCTTTTCTTGAACCCCCTGCACAAATTAGCAACAAACAACTAAGTTTACGTATTATGTGTGTGCAATTGGTGAATTTCTGGTGAAATTTGTCAAGAAAATCGAAAAATTTAAAAATAGGGGGGAGAGTTCGAAGTGGAGAGAAAGAGGGTTTGGAATTTGTGAAAATTGGAGTTTTGAAAACCCTTATTTAAAATGCCCCGTTTTTCCCTTCGGACGGCCGTGCGGGATTTTGGCCTACAATCCGCACGGCCGTGCGAAACTGTCAATTTGTACAGTGGCCCCTTTGAATCTGGGACGGCCGTGCGAGATTTTGGCCTAAAATCCGCACGGCCGTGTGAAATGCTGATTTTGCGCAGTAGCATCGTCCGCTTCTCGGACGGCCGTGCGAGATTCCAAGTCTTTATCCGCACGGCCGTTTGACAAGTTTCAATAATTGCATTTAAGGCCCTGAAAAATAAAAACTTCTTATTAGTGCCCCTGAAACTTTTTTTTTTTTTTTTTTTTTTTTTTTTTTTTTTTTTTTTTTTTAATTTAAAAAAAAACTAACACTAACAAGATAAATAAATAAAAACAAAAATTAAAAGAAAATAAAATAAAAGAACGAAAAATGAAAGCTCGGGTTGCCTCCCGAGAAGCGCTAAGTTTACAGTCCTCAGCCGGACTTTGTCTGCTTCTTTGTTCAAGCTAACGTGACCGAAGTCACTTGGCCATTGAATTCCTCTCCCCGATGACGCTCGTTTGATTTTTTAGGTGGCCACATCCTCCTTGCACGTTCATCACCGTTAGCACCCCAACTCTTTTGACTATCTCTCGGAGGAGTTGAAATTGAGTTCGCACAACAAACGTGCTCCTTCCGATTCCCTTTTCCGTTGTCATCTCCTGCACTCAACGATGCTTTCCCATGGTCCAAAATTGAAACATCAAAATTTTCATGATTTGTAAAATCCATAAGCTCAATAGTAAAACACTCATTATTCTCACATGGATTTTTATTAGCACAAAAAACATTAAATTTGATCGTTTCATCATGCACCGTCATTGTAAGATCACCACTCGCACAATCAATTAGAGTTTTTGAAGTGGCTAAAAACGGTCTCCCTAAAATAAGAGGTATCTCCCTATCTTCATCAATATCGAGTACAATAAAATCAACCGGGAAGATAAATTTGTTCACCTTTACTAGCACATTCTCTAAAATACCTTTTGGGTATACCAAAGACCTATCGGCTAATTGAAGAGTTATAGCCGTAGGTTCAATCTCACCTAACCCAAGATTTTTATAAGTGGAATAAGGCATGAGATTAATGCTAGCACCTAAATCAAGGAGCGATCTAAAATTTTTACCTCCTATAGTACAAGGGATAGTGAACTTACCTGGATCGCCGAGTTTTTGTGGAAGGGGTCGTGTAAGAATTGCACTACATTGTTCCGTGAGTTGGATCATCTCGTTTCCTTGCAATTTCTTTCTCTTTGTCACGAGATCCTTGAGGAACTTCACCCACTTTGGCATCTTTTGAAGGGCTTCAATAAACGGAATATTTATTTGGATTTCCTTCAGCTTGTCCAAAAATCTCTGATAATCGGCATCGAGCTTCTTCTTTATAAGCTTCTGAGGATATGGAATTGGCGGGGTTCGTGATTTCACTGGAGATGATAGTGGTTCTTCGTGAGTCGCTTCTTTTTCTCCAATCACGCTCGGCTCCTCGATCACCGTGTTTTGCTTCTCTTTTCGTGGGGCTTCCTCCAATTGTCTCCCATTCCTTAAACTCACAGCGTTGCACTGCTCGACGTTGTTCTTCCTAGGATCTTCAGTATTTGACGGCAGTGCTCCCGATGGCCTCGCGGTTAGCTGGGTTGCAAGTTGACCCATCTGTGTCTCCAAATTTCGGATGGAGGCTTGGGTGGTTGTCATGAATTGCGCCAAGATATTTGCGAGATCTCCACCTTGAGGTTGAGCTTGAGGCGAATTTTGAAATCCGGGAGCTGCTCGTGAATAATTAGGCGGTTGGCCTTGAGGTGGTGCTTGCCTTTGCCCTTGCTGATTTCCTCCCCACCCAAAGTTAGGGTGATCCTTCCATCCGGGATTGTAAGTATTGGAGTACGGGTTCCTCTGTTGTCGGTTGGTGTCATGCACATAATTCAGAGACTCCGTTTCTTCTACGCGCTGGTCGGGAACTTGGACTGCGTGGACTTGCTGAGTTTGCAAAGCCGCTACTTGCTTCGATAGCTTCTCCAATTGGGCCGTGATTGCAGTGACTCCGTCTAACTCCAAAATTCCTCCCGTCTTGACCGCTCCGCTGTTCGACCGGTCCGATGCCCGCATGTATTTGTTTCGAGCGATTCGTTCCAAGAGCTCGTATGCTTCGTCGTAGGTCAAACTCATGAACATACCTCCAGCTGCAGAGTCGAGCACGGTTCTCGAGTTGTCTTGCAATCCATCGTAAAATATTTGCAGTTGGCGCCACTCTTGAAGCCCGTGATTTGGGCACCTCCTTACTAACTGCTTGAACCGCTCCCACGTCTCGAGTAACGCTTCACCGGCTTCTTGTATGAAGTTTTGAATTTCTCGCCGGATTCTCTCAGTTTTTGTTGGGGAGTTGTATGTGTTCATGAAAAGTTGAGCTAGCTGGGCCCACGACGATATGGAGTGCGGTGCACGAGTTTGCAACCATTCTCGGGCTGCTCCTTGTAGGGAGTGCTTGAACAGGCGGAGTTGCAGTGCTTCGGGTGTTACTCCGTTCATCTTGTGCGAGTCACACGTCTCGAGGAAGTTCACCAAGTGGAGATGTGGATCTTCATGAGCTAGGCCGCTGAATAATCCATTGTTTTGGAGCATAGTGAGGAGTCCCGCTCGAATTTCAAAATTGTTGGCTTCAATGGGGGGCTGCTGGATGCTTGATTGAAACCCATTGAGTGTCGGGACGGTGTACTCGTGCGGTGCTCGTTGACGAGGCGGTGGATTAATTAGCAGGCGTTGGTTTTGTTCGTTGATGATTTCTCCTGCCGCGTTCGGTGGACGCCTTTGGTCACCTTCTCCACGATTATTCTCGTCCTCCATCGTTGCCGGATTGTTTTGGGCTAACCGTTGATTTCTCCTGGCTTGCCTAAACGTTCGCTCAATTTCGGGATCAAGAGGTAGCAGGCTCGTGTCGTGTCCTCTTCGCATAAAAAGTACCTAAAACAAAAAAAAATAAAAAAAAATAATTAAATAAATAAAATAAAAAATTTGGCTGAAGTAAGAAAAATTGCTCAAATTTAATATTAGGATAAATAAATAATTTAGCCGTATTCCCCGGCAACGGCGCCAAAAACTTGTTGGGTGCTAAATACCAACACGCAAGTGTACGTATCGCAAACAAGTAGTAAAGTAGACTCGTGAGAGTCGGATGTCGATCCCACAGGGAATACGAAAATTATTTAATCCTAAGTACCAAATCCTAACAATTGTGATTTTTATCCAGCCTACGCAGGGTTGTCAAATTAATTAACTAAATAAATTAAACTAATTGAGAAAGCAAGTAATCACGAGAAAATATCAATAATAAACGGATCTAGGATTTTATCTTCCCCCTATGCAATAATTCTCACCCAATTAATCTCCTATTATGCAAGTTACGATTCCCGATTATTAACCCAAGACACGAAATTATTCATAACCAGCTGTCGCTGCGCTATAAACCTATTATTCATAAAAGATTCACTATATGTCTATGCAAACCTAATATAAATAAAGCATTAAATAACAAGTCTCGCAAACGGCTACCTAAGGTATTATCTGTATGTCTACGATAATACATGCAATTAACACACGCATTCGGTGAAAAACTACTCGAAGGTTCTCCTATCCCTGTTCTAATTATTAAAACGATCTGTCAATCAATTCTAACAATAACAACTAGCAACATAAGTTAGCTACGCTCATGCACTAAATAAGATCAAGATAGAGGAAATAATCGAAGAATTAAACTTGCATAAAAGTCGAAAAAGAGGTTCGAATCACCACATAGGGTTCCAATAAAATCCTAGAATAAAAACTTAGCTACTCATGTTCGTTACGGAAAACATAATGAAAATACGAAAAATCATAAAAACAATAAAAAAGGAGAACTATAATGAAGAGTCGTCAAGTCTTCGTCTTCGTTCTTGCTCCTTGATTGCGTGTCGAAAGATAAAAGCTAAAAACTAAAATAAAGATGAAAGGTAAAAGATAGGATCCGTCTAATTGTGTGCTTGTGGCCTTTAAATAGGGTGCAAAAGTCTAATAGGGCGGGTTTCCTTGTATAATTGAGTTCCCTCCACTGCGCCATCACGTCAGCCCGGACGGCCGTGTGAGATTTTGAACTAAAATCCGCACGGCCGTGCGGTCTTTAATTCTCCAGATTTCTGATTTTTTCACTTTTGGCCCACTTTTTCTCTGAATTTGCAGTTTTCACCCCAAAAGTTGTCAATTCTTCAATTTGCACCTAAAATACAAATAATAACCAAATTAAGCACCAATTATCGTAAAAACACACCAAAAGCTCCAATTAAAAGGTATAATTAAGTGTATAAATATACACTTAACAGACGACTATACTTTTTCTTTTTCCTCAAATACGGCCAATCATGGTCATATAAGAAATCGTGTATAGGAAGCGGTCTAGCGAGAGATCTAAATTACTTTGTCACCTTGCAATGCAAAAACCTTGCATAGAAAAATAAATAAATGATGGCCACATCACTGTCACAATCATTTTAACGAGAACAAAATACTAGTAATATGACCAATGAATTCATGACAAGCTTTATATAGACAATGAGAATACATACCAGAGATTTCAATTTGCAGCACTGATCTGATGATGGCACTATCGCCGTTCCACACCAGAGATTTCAATTTGCAACACCAATTCTACCACCACCAGACCCACAACTCAGAGGACAAGCAAAGTGAGACTAGCGGCGCCCTCAACATGGCCGGCCAGGAGCGTAACCGCAACGAGGGCGGCATGAACGACCTCGACGGCGGCAACGACGGAAGCCCCGCCGGGGAGGAGGAGATATGTATAAAAAAATAAAACATTCCAAGCAAAAATCACAATAGCAAATTAAGTGAAGGAAATTAGAAAAATTAAATTAGAAGACGAATAAAAAAAATCAATATCCACAACCATCAAAAGGACACATCGTAATTACAAAAATGAAAGTATATGTCCATGTATACAGTATATATAAATATAAAAATGGGAAAAGCACAAACTTAAAATACCATTTGAAAAAAAACTTCGATAAAAAAAAAACAAAACTTACCGTGGAGCATAGAACTCGACAAGAACACCCTGATCTTGGCCGATCTATCGTCTTCCCCTTCCTTGACTGGTCTCATGTCTTGCTGCGGCGGCGACGACGCTTCCACTTCTCTAGCTTGGGTTTAACATCTTGCGGAGGCGGCGGCTTCCCGGCATTGAAGCGGATCAATTGAGAAAAGATGGTGGACGGTTGTGGGTGTTGATGGATGAATGAGGACTAAGGTTTCGATGGACAACAAGAAACGAAGGAGGGAAACGAACAGACAGGGCCGGCTCAAGCCCATATAGGGCCATAGGCAAATAATATTTTTGGGGGCCCCTATATTAAATTTTTTATTTAAAATTAAATTTTTTCTTGGCATTTTCTTATTATTTGAAGTGGAAATATTAAAATTATTAGACCTTATGTTATATTTTATACAATTTGTCTTTCATATAAATATTTTTGTTTAGTTTTATGAAAATATATAAAAAAAAAAAACAAATCAAATTTGGGGGCCCTAATTTATAAAACACATAATTTAGGGGGTCATATGAATATTACAGATAGTTTGGGGGGCCTAGGCATAGGCCTAAGTTGCCTATGCACTAGAGCCGGCCCTGCGAACAGAGAACGGAGAGAAACATATGAGAAACGGGATGTGGCTTGACCTTATTTCACAAAAAACTGTCCGTTAAAGGTAAAACGGTCACATTAAGTTTTTTATTAGGGCAGAAAATTCATAGGACCTATCCCTATATATTTTCAAATCTAGAGGTATCAGTCTTCGAAATTTGACATAAATCCATTGACTAAATTATCCAACCCTTATTATACTCTCTTCCCAAAATAACTCCTTATAAAGCTCACGTCCTTTAAGTTTTTTTATTTTTTCATTCTTTTTTTTTTCTGATGTTTCTCAAAAAATATGGTTTTTTTTTTTTCAGTTTAAAAAAATATTGCATTTATTTTAATTCATTTTTTTTCCACCAGGTTTAAGAAGTAGGGTTTTCAATCCCCAATTTTTTTTATTTTTTTTTTATTTCATTTTCTAGGTACTTTTTCTTTTCTTTTTTCCACCGGAATTATGAAAATTAAAATACATCTTATAATCATCGAAAACTACTATATCGAAAATCAATGTAAAAAATATTGTAAAAGTCAGTCTGAAATTAACGTAATCCACTTTAGTATTAACATAATGCAGAACAAACTTATATATTGAAATCCACTAAAATCATACGCAATCCACTACAAATGAACGTAATTCACTACTAATAAACCTGAAAAAATAACAAACAAAAAAAGACCGTAAATCCACAATTTGAAACATAAATCCACTGTTGGAAATGTAAATCCACGGTTATGTCCAGTTACCCTAGCATCAACCAATCTCGCCACCCCGCCGACATCACTTCGTCTGCTCAAGAACTTGAACATAAGAAAATTAACATAATCCACTACGATTTTAACGTAATCCACAACAAAATTAATGTAATCCAATACTGAACTTTGATAAATGTAACCTGTTTCGAATGCAAGAATTTAAAATTCACTACAAGCTCATCAAAAACCACTAAAAGAATATAGAAATCCACTAAAATATTAACATAACCCACTACAAAATTAACCTAATCCACTACAAAAAATCATTTTTGAAAGAGAAAATCCACTACAATTATATAAAAATCCACTAAAAACTTATCGAGATCCACCAACTTTCCATAAATAAACATTACACGGCTTTACCAATCATAATTTTTAGCAAGATTAAGATAAACAACAACAAACTCAGAAGCAAAATCAGCTGAAAATTAGCTGTCAAATAGCAACAAATTGCAGCAAACCAAGAGGAAAACAACAGCTAAACAGTAGCAAATTGCATAAAAAAAATACAATTCTAAAATTTTAGAAATAAAGAATCGAACATTTGGAAATTATGTCAATTATGGATAATATTAAATGCTTCACAAATCTTGGTTATTAATCCACATATTGTATTCCCTTACTTAAAATTAAGGAAATAAAAAATAATTGCTCATCGATCAATATTGTATTCTTCTTTTTAGTTCATCGATCTTCAGTCTCTTGCTGATTCGGGCTCATCAACAGAGTCACTGCACGCTGCTCCTATATCTGCCTCATGTGTCCTCCTAGAGCATGGCCAAAAGGTAATTATGCCCCATAATAGGGGCACATATTTATTTTAATCGGAGAGAAAAGAGAGGCTTTGCGGCTAACAATGGTGGAGGGGGTGGAGCGGATCTCACCATCGGCGAAGAGGATCGAGATTTGGGTGTAGAGTCGCTGGCAGCTAGTGTTGAAAGAAAGAGAGAAGATAAATATGGAGGGAAAAAAAGATTGAGAACGTTGGGTTATAGGGAAGGGGAAGGGTATAATTGTGAATTATATTATTTATAATTAATTAAAAATATTTTAGATTTATCTTATAAATGAGAATATTTATTGGAGCTCTCATAATAGAACAATGTATATGAGGGGGGTTTGTCAAATAATCCTATATTAATTTATAAAGTTTTTACTACAGTTCACCTCGTTAGTTAAATTAATTCAATTTATTCGATTATGTTATTTGTAGACGTTCCATTCTAAACCAAGTTACCTTTTTATCTTCTCATTCTTTATTTGGTAAGTTGATTTTACCGGGGCGGGGCCTGAGGGCAACACATGCGGCTATTTAGGGGCCTCTAACCTAAAAGAGTTTCCGAAAAAAAATGTAATGCATATAAAATAGGGGTTTTTGCTCATAAATACCTTCTATTCAGTTCATTTACGTTTTTTCTTTGTCTGCTCTCCGTACTTTTAACTTTCACTTTCACTTCACTCCCTAACCCACCCAAACGTTCTGGAATACGCCTCTCTTTAATACAAAATTACACCCTCCCATTCTATTCCTCTACAGAACGCGTTTTTTGTAAAAAACGTGCCGAACAAAAACACGTTTTACTATTACGATTTTGTCAACCCACTTTTCATAGCCGAATAAGTTTTTTCGTAAAAATGTGCCGAACAAAGCACATTTTCTAGATACGAAACGTCAGTTCGAATTTGAATAATCCCAATGTTGTGAATACCCACGAAGAAGAATTAGCTGACGACGAGAAAAAAAGAAACGAGAAAAAAAGAAGAAGATATACGAAAATACTCCAGTCTCGTCTTCAACCTCGAAGTAGAGAAAATACGAAAAGTAACCTGCCTTGAAGGTTCGGTTCTTGATCTGAAACAATTGCATGTTTGTTTGAAAAATCATGGAAACCCAATTTGAAAAACCCTAAAATTACACAATAAAAATTTGTGTTTTTCTGGCTGAGAAAAACACCTTCGCGGAAACGTCTTGTTTTTTGTCGAACTAAACGATTTTGAGTATTTAAGTGGGTGGGTTTTGTGATTACACATGTTTAATATGTTGTAAGAGACATGTGCATTCATACCCAGACCCTTTTGGTCAAAAAACTCTGTCATTTTCGTTTATTCGAGTGTGATTATTAGTTTTTTTTAGCAGTGGTAGTGGAGTAAATTACAGAGTATTTTCGTATTCTAGAGCAATTCTGTAGTGTTTAGTTTCTTAACCGTTCGTATATTTTGTAGTGTTTGTCGTATTCCCAGAAATGGGTCCAAACAAAGAGTCGGCTAACAACAAGAGGAAAATTGAAAATGAGACTCGATATTTTCCTCATCATTACATGAAAAAGTGACCGAAGTGAAGGCAAGGATGGGACCCTAACAACGTGAGACATTGAGTTCAAATCCATTTGGACACTATGTAGACATGACCAAACTGGGGCAAAACCTTGCAAAGTTAAAAAATTGATGAGGAGATATAGTGTTGTTTCAAATGAATTTGAGTTCGGGGATATGAAACATCCAATTGCGGCCCCGTTAGATCCAGTAGAATTTTCTACAATGCTCGGATTGTACAAGGATGGAGAGGCAATTGACATCAATCTAAAAGCCGAGAGATCTTGTTCTATTGTCACGCACCTCTTCGATGGCGATCTTAAAAATGAGAACCGAAATCGTATTAGTACTATGGTGGAAGAGTATGCTGATAAGAATGAAAAAGTGGAAGACTTCGTTCGTTTGTACACTTAATACATTTGTAAACTGTCTATTGTTTCCAATCCCTATCCGAACATGCCTCCATTTTATTTATCATTACATTAATAAAGTGGTGCATATAGAATTGTTTGCATGGGGGATGGTTGTTTATAAGTATTTGGTTAGCCAAATTTCACTTCGCGTTGTTGATTGTGCGCCATATTTCAACGGTTGCACTATTGGACGTGGATTGGTACGTTTTATGTACTTCATATATACTTATTCATAGAAGGACAGTCCAATGATGAGTTAAAATTGTGCAGGCTTGGCTGCATGAGAGGATACCTTCCATGGGCGATCTAATATATGTGGACATATGTCCTCGCCTTCTACAGTGGAGGGACAACAGGATCCCCGTTGCAAGAGAAGAAGCTGAATCAACATTCAATTCAATAACGAGGTTTTGGGTGAAGAATTTTTATACATTGTCCGAAAAGGAGAAATTTGCTGGCCGGAATATATCTACAGTTGGTGGTTCATCGCTGGATACCTCTCGTCTTCAGATTAAAGGAGAACAAATTGCATTGTTGAAGAATACCATAGGAAAATTGTAGCAAAAGAAGAAGAAGAAGAAGAAGAAGAAGAAGAAGAAGAAGAAGAAGAAGAAGAAGAAGAAGAAGAAGAAGAAGAAGAAGAAGAAGAAGAAGAAGAAGAAGAAGAAGAAGAAGAAGAAGAAGAAGAAGAAGAAGAAGAAGAAGCAGAAGAAGACATTAGAAAGAGGAAGTCATTCAAAGGAAGAAGAACCCAGAACACATGTAAGCTTTGATCTATCTATATACATTTCCAGTACCAGTTATATATGATACATACATAGAGATATATGATATTCCTGAGCATGTAATTTGACACGTTGTGAAGGAATTTGAGATGCTGATACAAGTGTTTCATGATCACACAAAAATAAAGACGACGAGAAATAAAGAAATTGAGAAAAAAATAAACAAAGGTCAAAATAACTGCAAGAAAGAAGAAAGTCGATGATAGAGTAGATCGGGAGGTGGTCAATGAAGATGAGGAATGGGAAAGG